ACTCCCAGGAAATCATTCGTCGATTCTCGATCATGTATGGTTCTGTCATGATCAACCCCCATGATGATGGCCAGGATTTCTTCCGCCCCGCTCTCCTAACCGGTACGGGCCTTACCCAAATCCAGCGCATCAAGGCGGCAGGGGCTGCTCGCACGTTCAAGGAACAAGTTGCTGCTGCTACGGAAAAAGCTGGTGCTAGCACAAATTACTTGGATGCCCAAGTTACGTTTACTCCAGCTCAAGCCAACTTCGCATTGTCTGAGACATACCGTAACTACAATGTTGTCACGGACCCTGTTTCTAGCTCGACTGAGTCCGTTAAGCAGCAACGTTCTATCTTCAACTTCTTATCCCCCGACATCTCCAACCCCACTTACAAGGAGCTTGAATCTAGTGGTTTCCTCATGGCCTGCAACTTTGATGAAACCAACAAGAAAGAGGCGGCCCTTCCTCCAAAAGCCAATGTATTGTATCTTGGCGGCCAAATCCGCACGATTGCCCATGTTATTGAGGCTGTTTGCAACATGCGTTGCGTTGATAGCTCCTTCATTGAAGAGATTGATGATAGTGCCCTCATGACACACTTGCGCAACTACCTACTTGTCCTACGAACAATGGAAGCACGAAATTGGATTGCTAACCACCAGAACCTTCCCCAGTTTCCCATCAACGTTGCTTGTGACATCCACACTATCATTTCAGCTTTTGCTGTCCTTGGTACACGAACAGAGTACATCCGTGCCTTGAAGTTCGATGGCACCATTAGTCCCAAGGTTTATGATTCTGCCAACCAAGTTGCCAACTCCATCATCCGCTCCCTTCAAGTCTCAATTCAGAGGGGTACTAGCAATGGCTACCGCATGCACCCTATCATCATGACTCTGTTCCAACGCCAAGCTCAGTCCAATTCTTCGTGTTCTTCATCTTTCTTGGATGGACGGGAGACGGACTTGGTCAACGTTTCCGTGAGCTTGCCGAACTGGGTCAAGAGATCATCCGCGCGAAGCGGAGGAGTGCCTTCAGGACGGCGGTCGGAGTCATGATGGTCAGAGTCGTAGCGGCCCGATTCACGACGGGCAGTGTCATGACGGTCGGCTTCAATTGCTGCAACCTCAAGAGCGTAATCACGACGTTCTTCTTCGGCCGTTTGAATGCGCTGGCCAATAGAGCACCAAGCCATGTCGTGTTGGTCCCTGGCAGACGACGTAACTAAAGCAAATTCCGGGGCCGATGGGGAGATCAACTGGAGAGGGGCATTGACGTGGTCAGCAATGGTGTGATTAAGAGCGAAGGGCTCCCAATCGAGTTCAGCTAACATGAACATCTTGCCTCCTTGGGTGACGGACCAACCATCATTCTTGAGGATCGAGTAACGGGCGCCTTGGAGCCAAACCTGGAGGAGGTCTTCACGTGTGAACTCGATAACTTTTAGGAGCGAGAGCTCTGGATCCCGTCAGAGATAGCTCCAACAGCTATGCTGGCCTACAGCTCCAGCACCCGCAGCTGGCTTATCTCCAGCCAAAGCAGCAAGAAAGGATCGTCCTTTCTACCATAGTTAAGAAAATAGTACGAAAGATTGAGACCGATCCTGATTAGCTTGTAGCCCCATTGATACCGCAGCAGTTGATACCAATCCTGTTGAGGCCCGATAAAGTTGAGCTTATAAAGCCAATAATTGCCTCACTCTGTACCGAGCAAGAAACACATTTTACAGAAGTTACTGGATTAACAGTCAGCCCTACTTAGTGATTCCCCTCGGTCATCCACAGTAGAGCCAAGGATGCAGGCCTGTAGTTCGATCCCCGGTACAGTATCTCGCTTCCACCTCGCAGCACCTCACATGTCGGAAAGGCAACTAGTAAGTATGCTCTAGTTCAACATAGCCCATAAGTACTCTCATGAATTCTACAAGTCTGCGGTTAACAACACTGCAGGGCTAGAGAGGCACGACATATCGTACGGTTCCCCTCTGGAACCCTATACCCGTAAGCATTCAACACTCGTTCCGGGGGAGTTAAGGTCTTCATTCCCCGTGACTCGTACCACCACCACTCGTTAAGACTTTGGGGGAGAAGTTCACCCCGAACGGTGAGATGGGTAAGTCTCACTCGTAAATAGTATATGACGTTCCACTTAGATAATACCGTAGACTATGGGGGAGTACCCTTCCCATCGTGACATCAGTCTTCGCCAGGATATCTAGTGACCAACGTCTAAGTCCTTCAGATAGCTCTCCTACCGCTCGTGAGTTAAGAGAAGAAGCTAGTATTCCCACTTTGTACTAGTACTCGACAGTCAGTTCCCCTGCATATGTCCGTGCAGGATTCGCTCGAAGAACACCATTCTTCACACCGTACGTTGTATCACTCGTAAGATCATTCCACCATAGTCCCAGGAATTCTTCACGGTTCCTGGGGGAGTAATCAGCGAGTTAAGAGAACACGTACCTACACGACTGACGTCAGTTCCGAATGGGAACTCGACGTACCTCTACTGACGTACGCGATCACGAAGAACCTTCCGTGACACCCGAAGGCTAGCGCTTGAGTACAGGCAGCGCTAAAGCGTAAATAAATACCTGCATGCATACCAGTACGTGCGCATTAGTGCTGGGTGATTCCAACTGCTGCAAACTCGGTAGTCACCAGTCCCACGACCAGTGACTCGAGAACTCAGCACAGCTGTTCGGCAATGGGGGAGCGATAAAGTTGAGCTTATAAAGCCAATAATTGCCTCACTCTGTACCGAGCAAGAAACACATTTTACAGAAGTTACTGAGGCCGGGCAGAAGCAGTAGGAGGTAGCAGATAGTACTGTTCCCAGACTGCCACTGCACGATTGAATAACGAAGGCTCCCAGCTCCTGAGGAGAGCTGGCCCAAAGGGCCCAGCAGAGAGCTCTGCTGGCCCTCCTGTCTGACTGACAGGGCCAAGTCCTTGGTTTGGTGCCTACTGGAGGTGTTGGAATACTCCTGAGGCACGACAAGGCTCCCTGAACTGCCTGACTACCGCTGTCCCTGAGGAAGGGTTTCAGCGAGATCCAGTTCACTACTTGGGTATTGGAACTGAACCTTCAAGAAACTTATTGGATTAACAGTCAGCATAGATTTGCAGGCAGTCCTTAAGGGAAGAAGAGACCTCCTTGACGAGAAAAGGATCTCTTCGAATTACACTACAATATATTGGTTTACAGTTGATTTCATTGGAATTTGGTGCTGATTTCAAGCCCACTTTTGAAGTCCTAAGTCAACAACCTTCTGATCGATTTTGATAGCTCCAGCCACCACCACAGTGACAGGAACCTTCTTGTTGGCCACCTGACATCTACAAAGCCAACACCATCATCATTGTCATCTAGCTAGAAGGAACTACACAAACAAGCTCATCAACGACGACAGGTACCTCCAGCCTCCAGCACAACGTACCGAAAGCAGTCAATTCACTCGAAAGAAGAAGGAGTTCTTGTACTGGTCCCAGTAGGAACACTCGGAGTCTCCGAGTGACCGCAAGACTTATTGGCTTCGTACCTATCTTAGCAATCGAGCAACACGTTTACGCGTTGAGGAACGGGCTTATTCCTTTCCAGTCATCCAGCGATTACGTGATTTATCACGCTGTTTCGAGGCATATCTCTTCCCAATCGTCTGTGCAGTTTTCGAGTGTCATGAGTTTCTGTCCTGTACTGGCTTCAGGGATGCACGGAACGTCCTGGAACTCTTTTACGATCCACGGAACGTACTGACGTACTACAAAGAAAGCCGCTCAGCCAATCAAAACGTCCGTGCAGTTTCGGTACTTATTTGACGTGCCCTGAGTCAGTTTCGCATCTTCGCGCGGAACGTACAAGAGCTTCCTATTCGATCTTTGCGACGGGATACAGCTTACAATTCAGCTTTACAGCTTTACAATTAGCAGGCTTATTCTAGAAAATAATCAATAACTGCTCACTTATTTGGAAATACAAACTTTACATCTCTTAGATCGTTAGATTAATCAATCCACAATGGTATTGTCGCATGGTAGCATGCGAGGTTATGAGATGTTACTCATTCTTATTCTTATATGTCTATCCCTTATGGTTGTCAATGGAATGAGCTATCCCTTGATGCAGAGTCCTGAGTTTCCTCTCATTATCTTCATCGGTAGTCCTTCCCCTTATTGCAACTTAATTCCCTTGGATTCGCTCGCAAGCAATCCCCTTGTCAACCTGCTGGATTCGCTCGTAAGCAATCCCCTTGTTCTTTATCCTGTCGTGGATCGAAATCGTGATGAGGACCCTATTATCTTGGATTCGCTCGAAAGCAATCCTCCCCTTGTTCCTATTGACGATCGTAATCTCAATGAGGATCCTTTTATCTATTATACTACTGTTACTGTTACTGCTACTACTGGTATCTCTATCACCGGCAAAGCCTTATTGCCTCATCTTCGAGTCGATCGCGATCGATCGATCCAAGTTAACAGATCGATCCAAGTTAACAGAATTCATCGAAAAATGAGCTCCTACTGCGCATATAAGGCTCGGCTTGTGTGTCATGCCTTGAGTCATGCTTCGGGAGCCATTTCACCCTCTATTATCAGTTCAAATCGCCTGAGTCATGCTTCGAGCGGAGTTTCACTCCAAGCTCCTCACTTTTTCATTAACTCGACGTACACTGATAACGACACGGAGCGATCGATCGCTCGTGCTGTTGGCATTGATCGTACGGAGATCGCTCGCAAAGTAGTTGTTCGTTCAAACGACCAACTGCAAGCCAGTTCGAACGACCAACTGCAAGCGAATCATTCAAACGAACAACTGCAAGCCACACCGAATGACAGTTTGAATTCAAAAGAAGGATCGAAGGATTCGCTCGCAGTTGGTCTTTCGAAGAATAACAAATCTCATAAACTCCATCTTCGATTGACTCGATTGACTGGACATCCACCACACTCTTGTTCGCCTTGCTCTTGTTCGCTGCGCTCCTGCTCCTGTTGCCGCTCCTCTGTTGTTGATTTCCAGCCTCGATCTCGATTGACTGATCCACCGCGCTCCTCTCACTTGATGGACCTTGACGCGCTTCCTCTGCCTCAGCATCTTCATCTTCAACAGCAGCGCCAGCATCAGCATCCTTGTTCAGTCCACAAGAGCCTCTCTAGACAAAGCCTCATTTGAATCCTGCCCACCCAATAATCCCACCGATCTGGATCCTCCATGCCATAGACTGGCATGCACCATTGACCGCAGTTCGAATCCAGGAGCTCCTCCGTCAACATTGCGGAAAATCACAAAGAGAGATTCGGCAAGCTTACGAGAACGCCCGCTTGAGCCATCCTAGCGGAGGGTGACTCACAACCACACTGGAGCCGGTCAGGACTTGGCTCAGATGGACTGGAAAAGGAACCTCAAAGCACCCCATGCCTCAGGGTTTCCATGGTGACGACCATCTGAAAAATCACACCACACTCCACGTCGCAGGCGATTGGCTCGGAAAGCATAGATGAAGAATCGCATCCAAAGAGTCCTCTACCAACCCATCGACTGAGTCATATCTCTCAGTCATGTACTCTGCATCCATGAGTGATGCTCTCATGTGCTAGCCTCTCTTATCGGCCTTTGAGAAGCTATGTATCGACATGAGAGGCAATCGGCAAATGAGTGGTAGCGTCTTCCAGCTTGTTGTTTGAGACCTTAATACTAACACTATTAATAAAATCAACATGTTTCACTGCTCCTGGACAGGTTTCAGGTTCTATGATGGAAGAATGGCATCAGGAGATTAACCCTTCCACAGACCGTCTCCAATGGTGTGTGTCAGGCCACTCATCGAGGTGCCAATGGGGAGAATCCTCCGCCGGCAACCCATCCCTGTTTATGCCGGCTATATCTGTATAGCTAATGCACAGCCTGCCTACGCGATACGGGTATGACAGGTCTGCTGCTTGAATCGTGGATGCTCACGTGAATTAAGCTATCTTCTCAATTGGAAACGTAGGATTGAGGGTAGAATGACGAGACTATGTTCCCTCAGATGAGCAAGCACTCAAGCATGTGGCGCACACTCCGCCTATCTACGTTCCGCGAGTCTTCTGCAACGAACAGGTGACTATTCCTGACCTTCTTCTCGCCCCGCAATGGATGTGAGACACATCTCAAAGCACCGAGCTTTTCCTTCGAGTGCCCTGGCGGGCATCATACCTACCGTCCGTGAGGGGACAACAACTGTGTTGTGCCTCTGGTCCTTTATGGTTGATATCCTCGCGTTGCAAGCAAGCTCATCAAAGGGAGTGGAGAGAATTGAACCTCTCTTGTATCAGCTTCCCAGTATGATTCTCGCAATGGCTT